AAGTTCACTACTTGTCTGCACTAGACCGGAAATAATGATAAAATCTCCCTCAACACCACCAACACTTAAACATAATAATATAACTATTACTATTTTAACGCTGCCACCACCAAGACAATTTATAAATGGGGTGCCTTGGTCCCCCAGGTACATCAATAATAAAAACCCACCAAATATGACTTAGTACAATATTTAAGGAATTGCAAAAATACTAATTAGTTTCTTCAGGTAATGTGATTCTTAACCAGACAAAGGCAGAACTTAATAAAGAAATATTTATTATGAGCAAATAATAGTCACAGTGCATACAAAAATATAGATGATAAACAAATTATTTACACCAACAACAGATAAAAATAGAATAAAATAACAGAAGTCCTAATTACTCACTTAGGTTTTCAAAGTAAAACCTCTGCCCAGGGGGTCTCTGGCAAGGAAGGATCATGGTGACTTGCTCAAAATTAGATCTTGGCCCTAAGCAAGTACACCAACACCCCTCCAAATCATTGGATATATACCCTATGGATTATCAAGTCTTACCCAGGGGTGGAGTTAAGACGTACCTATAGAAATAATAAGTGACCACCTCCTTTGCTCGAGACCAACGTCAGTCCACATGGAAACAATCTTTTATGTACCTGCCACAGAAATAATAATTGCAACTACGAATTTGTTATTATTTTCTCATTCCCTAGACATGTCCCACGATCCAATAGGACGGACATCACAATTCCTTCCTATGGTCAAGTCAGGCCACTCATGTTTGGGCTTGTTTAGAAAATGGCGCATGTAACATTCCAAATATAAAAAAAATTAGGCTTAATTATAATTCTGTGGGGTAAATATAAGTGATTTTTCCTTCCTTTGGATATGATACTGGAACAAGGCTAATGACCATTAACATATCAAAGGATTGAACTATAAATTGAGAGTTTCAGGCCCTATGATCAAAGTCAGTTAGTTTACTTTGAAACTAGACATATAGGCGGCTCAAGTGTAAAACATCTCACCTTGCAGGGCCTTTGATAGATCAAAATGGCAATCCTTTTCACACATTGCAGAAGCCCCTTTTGATCAAAATAGCTATTTCTCTCTGTCATTTGTCCTCTAATCAGATATCAAATTATTGATGAACTACACAAGTTATAGTAAATAGCAATATCCCATAGTGTAATAATAAATTATGTACCCTTGCCGTGACACCTTGTATAACAGTGGAGTCAATGGTTAGAGCTGGGAAACCCAGGTATGATTCCTGTCCAGGCCACCCCACCAAAAGTGCCCCCTAATGATATAGCAACCTTCCTTGATCGGGGCCTTCTTCATATTCCCTTTCTATAACTGTAAAGTGCTGTGCAATATTGTATAAATGCTAATGATGAATACCAATATAATTTTCTTCACTTGGCTATGTTAAGCAAGTTAGTTGCAAGCTTACAGAGCTTCAGGTTTCAAAGAGACCCTTCAAGCACCAATTCAACTGTAATGCATTTAATAGGTTTTGAACTCATTAATATGCTGTATTCTTTGCATGCTCACATTTTTATAGTTTTTGCACACAAAAAAAATAAATGTTTTGTAGAATTCTGCAGGGCTGCCATCAGAAATTTTGGGGGCCCTGACACAGCTCAAGGTCTGGGCCCCCCTGGTGCCTGCACCCGAGTCCGCCCAAAGTGCTGCCCCCCCCCCGAGTCCGCCCACAGGGATACAGTGTCTGCAGGGCCGGTGCAAGGATTTTTGCCGCCCTAGGCAAAAGTAAAATTTGCCGCCCCTCCATGTGACATCACAATGCCCCACCCATATGATCTGTCATGTTAACTAACACCAGTGCTGCAGTGCCGCCGTGTTTACATTAAAAGGCCTGCAGGGACAGGCTAGACACCAGAACCACTACATTAAGCTGCAGTGGTTCTGTGGACTATAGTGTCCCTTTAATGTGAGGTAAATTAGAGATTAGTGCCACAAATAATATACTAGATTGCCTACTTACAACCAGATGAGGATGATGATGGGCTCTAGCTGCCGTCTGGCTCCACTGGTCTGGTGTAGAACAGGCTCTCTGGAGGCGGTTTGTAACTGTGGTCACAAAAATCAATGTTCTGGGAGAACGGGAAGCAGCTCCATTTTTTTGAGGGCCCTTTACACAGCTCAAGGTCTGGGTCCCAGGGTCCACCTTCATGTTCCACCAATGAGTTTGTTCACAGGGGGTGGAGTGTGTGTGTGGGGGATGTCCTGATGTGTGTAAGGAATGCATTGTGTGAATCTGTGTTTGTATGTATAAGGGCTGCAAGGTGAGTTTGTGTATGTATGGGATGCAGTGTGTGCGTCTGTAAGGGATGCATTGAGTGTGTGTAAGGGGTGCATTGTGTGTTGCTGTGTGTAAGGGATGCATTGCTTGTGTATGTGTGTCTGTGTGTAATGCATTGTGTTTTTTTCTGTGTGCAAGGGGTGCATTGTGTGTGTGTGATGGATGTCAATTTCCTTCTCCCCCTCGCCCCGTCAATTTCTTTCTCCCCCCCTCTCCAATTACCTTCTCCCCCCACCAATTTCCTTCTCCCCCTCCCTCTCCCTCCAATTTCCTTCTTCTCTCCCTCCCCCTCCCTCCAATTTCCTTCTTCTCCCCCTCTCCAATCTCTCCTTCCTTCTCTCCCCTCTCCAATTTCCTTCTTCTCCCCCCCTCAATTTCCTTCTTCTTGCTCCCCCTCAATTCATTGTTCTCCTCTTTCCTTCTTCTCCTCCAACTCTTCTCCCCTACCATCAATTTCCTTCTTCTCCCCTCAATTTCCTTCTTTTTTCCCCATTCAATTTCCTTCTTCTCCCCTTTCCTTTTCTCCCCCCTCAATTTCCTTCTTCTCCCCCACTCCAATTCCCTTCTCCTCAACTCAATTTCCTTCTTCTCCCCTCCCTTCTCCAACTTTCCTTCTTCTCCCCCTCCCTTCCTTCTTCTCCCCATCCAGGTTTCTTCTCCCCCCTCAATTTCCTCCTTCTCCCCTCAATTTCCTTCTCCTCCCCCCTCAATTTCCTTCTTCTCCCCCCTCCCTCCAATTTCCTTCTCCTCCCCCCCTCAATTTCCTTCTTCTCCCCCCCCTCCAATTTCCTTCTTCTCCCTCCCCTCAATTTCCTTCTCCCCCTCCCTCTCATTCCTTCTCCCCTCTCAATTTCTCTCTTCTCCCCCACCTTCCAATTTCCCCCCCACCACAAATTTCCTTCCTCTCCCCTCCTCCTCAAATTTCATTCCTCTCACCCCCTCAAATTTCCTTCCTCTCTTCCTCTTCTCTCCCCCCTCCCTCCCTCAATTCCCTCCTCCTCCTCTCCCCTCTCCTCCCCACAAATTTCCTTCCATACAATTTTTTAAAAAAATTTTTGCATCCCCCCAGCCTCCCTACCTGTAGGAGTGCTGAGGGGATTCCCTGGGGTCCAGTGGTGACACCCGGCGGCTGGTCCGGCGGGCGCGCGAGGGAGCACTCTCCCTGGCTGAGTGCTTCCTCTTCAGCTCCCTCCCTCCGTTACGGTTGTCATGCCCTGATGGCGGCCCTGGAATTCTGCACCATAATTTAGGCGCTCCCCTTCACTCCAGAAATACTTCCTAATAAAAGGTATGCACACAGTCTCAGCTGCAACAGCAGTGAGTGTAATTCACAACCTGGTTTCAAACTGTCAGATGAACTATAAACAGTCAGTGATATCCTTACTATATGCCTCCCTGGATGTCCTCTCCATCTAATGCAGGTTGTTTTGTTGTTCAGATCACTCAGTACTGTCAGTGGCTGAGCTGTGTACATACATTTCACGAGGAAGCCTTTTTCTGGAGTGAGGGGGCATGGCTAAAGGGACAGGCTTATGGTGCAGCATTCTGCAAAAACTAAAAAGATTTGAGCATGCAAAATAATACAGCGTATTAACGAGGCCATAATCTACCAAATTCTGGTGCCTGCAGTGTCCCTTTAATTAATAAGTCCCATAGTTGTAAGTGACTATATATAAGATCATTGTACGTGTTAATGCATGATGTTCTCCACTGTTGCATCGTTCACTTATTGCATTTACAGCTCTAATACAGGGAGCTGCTTTTAGAAAACCTCTTCAAATCCTACTTCACTGCTTTACTGTGAATGGAACAATGCATGTCTATTGAAAACCATACTGAAAGTGCAAATCTAAACATCATCATACCATGGATTTATATGGAAAAACAAAAACAAAGAAATAAAAGGAAGAATGTAAAGTATAAGAAACTTATAAATAACACTATCAAAAAAAGTTATTTTTCTTTCAAAGAAAAACTGAAATATTTTGAATTATACAACACATGAATGTACAAAAGATAAACATGTGTTGGAGACACGTTTGTATTAATTCTACAAGGTAAATGTTTTGAACCAACCTTATGAAAACATTCTAGTTGGGGGTTATGTATACAGCATAAATCTGGGGCAATTAGCACAAACATTCTACCGGTTTCCATAGTTACTGCTCTTTAAATGAACTCTTCAGATGCATAAAACTTTGTTTGTCTGGAATCTAAAAAAATTCTGACCATTTAGAAAATATATAACTGGGGCAGAAACATCTCCCTTGCCATCAGTCAGGCATCCGGGGAGGTTTTCCACAGAGCTAACAGAAGTAGTAGGCAGGCTCTGTGTTAGCGTGCCTGCCTTCATCCCTTCTGAATGTATTGAGAAGCATTGGGAGGCTGCGATCACTTGCGCGCTAACGCTCTATGAGCGTCTGTGTTGTGGAACGATGGGAGAGCTTACAGAGGTTGCAGATAGCTGGTCTTTGGCTTTTGTAAGATGTTTTTTTTTTTTTCCTATACCCCCAAAGAAAGCGTACAGGAAATATACATGCATATTTTATTTGGGCATATACCTACTAAACAGTTAATAAGTAAAAATAACAATTGTCAATGGAGTGTTTCTTTAATTGGAACTTTGTCCTAGATTTGATCTTTAGACCTTCCATTATAACCTTTTTTTTTTTTTGTATTTTCTCTCATGTAGATATCTTTGTCCTGATTGCTTCTATACCTGTGGTGGCGGTAGGAAAAAGCCAAGGGAACGTGTTGGCCACATCTCTGCGTAGTTTGCGATTCCTTCAAATTCTACGGATGCTTCGAATGGACAGGAGAGGGGGGACATGGAAGCTTTTAGGATCAGCCATTTGTTCACATAGCAAGGTAAGCTGTATAAATAAACCCTGTCAAACTATTTGAATATTCACAGTAACTACAAGTCCCCAAAAAACAATGTAATAGATGGCTGATATGCAATGATTTAGGGATTTTCAGGGCAAAGGAGCAATGGATAGAGATCTGCCAGGTGGGGACTATGTAACTTTATGTTCTATAATTTTGCATTATTTAGTTTACTGGATGCTAGTGTGGAAATGACGCTGCTACATTTTAATTTGCTTGTTTCTTGTGATCTTATGACACCCCTAAATCCAATTCCCCCTTTACACTCCCTAAGCTTACAATATATTATAAACTGCTGCACCCCCACATTCTGGAGAAGCCACAGCTCTTGTTTTTGGAGGCTTATTGACGTTGACGTCATACAATGTAAAGTATTGACCGAGCTATTTTTCTATTTTCTACAGATTTTGTTTATCTAATGATCCCGTTATCTGTTTTTCTGTAGTTTTGTTATTATCTTCAGGCTGGTTGTGTCCGACTTCCCAGAAACCATTTTCATCTTCTTTAGAAAACAATATTGACAATCTATTTTTCTTGTTGATCTATTTTCACAAATAGACATTTATAATGTTTGCCCACACTGGATTTTGTTCTCTAAACAATGAATTGAAGTGAATTAAAACCCAAATTTAGTATATATAAAAATAAAAGCATTTAGCGACCCCTAGTGTTTACATCGTGCAGTGCAGGGGAGAGTAATTATTATTATTATTAGCAGTTAGAAAACGCCAACTTATTTCGCAACCATTGATATTATATAGCACATACAAAATCTGAATGTGTTACCATTTTTAAAATAAATATATGAAAATGTTAAAGATAATTATGAAGATATTTCTAAGTGAATCAAGATTACAAATCAGGTCTTCTTCTTGTCACTGTTTAACTCATTCTTTCGTAGGAGCTTATCACTGCCTGGTATATTGGTTTCTTGACACTGATTCTGTCATCGTTTCTTGTCTACCTGGTTGAGAAAGATGTTCCGGAAGTAAACGAACTTGGTGAACCTGCCCCTGAAGAATTTGAAACGTATGCCGATGCTCTGTGGTGGGGATTGGTAAGTTGGTAATTTGTGTTAATGTAACCTTCATCCCACAATGCGACGTTGGGTACTAGAAAGAACTTTCTTATCAGTCACGGTCTTGTCTTTCTGGAAATATTGCTACACTTTCATTGTTGGAACATCTGTCCTTTGTGATCACCAGAATACTTTGCCATGGCCTTATAGTTCTACCCAGATTTTACCACTACCCAAGATCTTGGGAATAATCAACGACAGACTATGGAGTCAATTTAGAAAATGTTCGATGATTATTAAACATAACAAAGCCTATAAAGGAACTAAATAAGGGTCTGTCTAGGGGGAGTATCATTAATTACCCATCAAATATTGTCAATTATTATTTAACAGCATTAACAGACTTGTGCAGCCAGAATGAAATAGGCATGTAACAAATCATTGATCTAAAACTTATCTACAACTGCCCTGGCATGGAACAAGCAGATCTAACTGGAGCTATTTTCCTTGATTTTGCTAAGGCCTTTGACACAGTAGACCACGACATTCTACTGCACAAACTCGAAAACTCAGGTATTGGTGATCATTCTTTAAACTGGTTTCGATCGTATGTATCGGATCGCTCGCAATATGTGTCCATTTCTGACAGTGACTCCCTCCCTCTCCCGGTCACGTGTGGTGTTCCCCAGGGTTCCATTCTCGGCCCCCTACTATTTACATTATTTATAAATGATCTGCCTTATGTCTGCCAATCCTCAAATGTACACATGTACGCAGATGACACGGTAATCTATGCGAGCAAACCCAATCTACCGCAACTTGAGGCTTTGCTCCATGACCAGTTTACAGAGGTAGAAAAGTGGATCGCAAAAAACAAACTCTTCCTGAACACTGACAAAACTGTCACAATGATCTTTGGAACGGTACCTAAATTACACAAATTACACAATTCCCACCTATCAATCAAAACAAATTCAAATGGTACACTGACCACAATCCACTCTTTCAAATACTTGGGTATGATGTTAGACCCCAATCTATCTTTTGGCCTTCACATAGAAAAGCTTGCATGTAAACTTTATCCAAAACGAGGTGCCCTGTACAGAAACAAATCTTGCCTAAGCCATACAATAAAGGAAAGGATTGTACAGCAAATGCTGATGCCAATCATTGATTATGGGGATGTAGTATATGCATCTGCACCGCAATCCCACATTAATAAACTCAACACATTGTATAACTCGTTCTGACGATTTGTGCTACAATGTAATTACAGGACCCACCATTGTGACATGCTAAAGGAACTAAACTGCCTGTCGCTGGAATCCAGACGCACCCTTCATCTTTCCAGCCTTGTGTTTAAGAGCTTTTCTGGGAAGCTCCCACCCTACCTGAACAAAATGCTTTCCCCAGCTGTTCCCACTTTCTATAAGCTCCGATCCAGTACCAACATTTTACTTAGTCTACCTCAATACAAAAAGAAAGCGGCCCGATCCTCCTTCTCCTACAGAGCGCCGCAATTGTGGAACGACCTCCCGCACACTTTAAAATCTTCCCTAAGCCTAAAGTCCTTTAAGAGATCCCTCTCTACATACCTCAAAACAGAATGCACGTATCATGGTTGATTATATATTTCCTGCCTGTTCTATGTTAAATTTTGCATATATTGTGTATTAATATTGTTTTTGTATTTTATTGTACCATAATGTATCAATGCAATGTTTTGTGGACCCAGGACATACTTGAAAACGAGAGAAATCTCAATGTATCTTTCCTGGTAAAATATTTTATAAATAAATACCGAGCACTAAGTTTTCTTTATTTTGTCTTATGATTTTCATTTTCCTTTCTCTGCTTTTATCTCTCTCTACACTAAATGAACTACTATTGATGCGGTAAAGTAACATAATGATAACGCTCCTAGAGGTACAATTTAAGCGACTCCAATCCTAGCCTGAATAATAATTATGCTTTTTGTTACATCTACTACAGGCACGATCTTTATGCAGTGGGGAGTTGGTGTACCCCTACCCTCACTCCCCCTCCCACCCCCCAAATAGCTGGGTGTGTTTGTACCTGCTTGATTTCTAGACTAGTCTATACAACGTTAAACCACTGTACCTTTTTCTCTTTCAGTACATATATCCAGCTTATCTACCCTCCTGTTACACCAATATAATATTCCTGAACACTAATCACTTTGTCTTGCGTCCTTAGTCTAAGTGTCAGACTAGGCCGGCGGTTAGCCAAGTATATTTAACACACGCATCTTCTTAGAATGATATTTAACCCCCGTGTAAAGCCTGGTTTGCACCAACTGTCACAGACAAGTTTACTTAGCCTGTCATTATCACGCATTCTAAGCATCTGAATATCTTGTTATTAATAATTCTATAAAAATGTGCCACATCTCTCAATGCCACACAATGTTATAATATGACTGTTATTGCTAAGCTTGCATTGTTGTTGGGGCATGGCAAGCCTGTTTGTAACCAGTTGCACAGCGAAAATAAAGAACTGACTAAAAAATAAATTTAAAAATTGTGACTTAATGTTGGCAGCTTTGGAAGGTTTGTTCAGACTCCAGTCACCCTGCATAGGAATCTAAAGGTACGTCAGTGCCCTCTAGTGGTAACACATCATATAACACTTAAAAAATATATATTGAGTTTAATGTTTGTAAACTTAATCATCATCAGAATTATGCATATTGCATAAAAAAAAATCCCCCAAAAATACATTTTTGACATTCTTTATTTTTCAGTGCATATAAGTAGGAGCATACGTACTTGCGATGCCATGGCAGCATAGACAAGTCATTCAATGACATACATAGTAATATAAAGCATGGCATGTATAAACATTGTATAACAAAGAACAAAAGGAATCAATAACATATACTTATCAATAAAACAGAGAACAGCTTCCCACTGAACACCTCCCAAGTAGTGTTACGTCTATACAAGCCGATTGATATAGTACACGTGGGATACAGCTGTTAAACCTAAAATATAATAAAACAGAACATAGCATAATACAGTTAATCAATATATAATAATCCCTGCTAAAGATTGCACTCACAGGATTTTGAAGTTAAATGCACTCTTATGGTGCCTCCCATGATGTTTGGGGGGCTAGTATCTCCCTCTCAGGATCAGGTATCACCCAGGAACCATGCAGGACTCCGACAGGTAGATAAATAGAAAAGAGGTTTTTTTTCTTTTCTTTTCTACTTATCTGTAAAAACATTGCACATTTTTGTAAAAGTAGGAAGTAACGTAAGAAGAAATCATTTTGCTTTCGGTATGGCAGGCTGTATATAACAGTAAACCTGTCAAAAAGCTTGCAAGAATAAATCCCTAGCACAGCCTGCTTCAATTTTAAATTATAAAGACACTTATCCAAAACAGGCCAGGCACGTGTGTCTGAACATATGTCGTAATCTTAGCTATCTAGGCAAGTTACTTCAGACAGGAGAAGAGAATTATGGATAGACATGCTAGATATGCTATCAAACTCGCAGATACTATAACAGGAATATAAAACCACTGGTGCCCACCGACAGAACATAATACAAACTTAAAGCATTTGCCCCATGTGAGCCTAAGGCCCAGAAGAAATATGGTGCCCAGGCCCTAATGTGTACCGGACCCACAGAGTGTTGCCCCACCAGCCCCAGGCACTGACACAGTCCTGCACAATCTTCTCACTTATCTGGTCACGTTCAGTGACCTGAAATGGGTTTCGGGACCCTCTCTCCGAGTTTTACATGTCCGGCTGTGTGTCAAATATATGTAAATGTTACAATTGCAAACATAGAACAATTTTCCTTTAAGTTGACAAAAAATAGTACAAGATTTTTTGATTTATTTGAGTATTGGACAATAAACGTAAAAAATGATTACCAACTCCGTTACAATGGCCACCAATGGTCCAGGATTTAGGAACTACCCAGTTCTGGTCTAGTGAGATGTTTTTAAAACATCAACCTGACTTCATTCATTTATAATGAACAATATACAATAGATTGAACTGTGTTGTTCGATCATCACCTAAACCCTTGTTTGGCTCACTGTTAATATAATGTTGCAGAGATCTACAAATGTCGCATTGTCAATATCTACTGTCATTGTATTTTTTCAGATTACACTTGCAACAATCGGTTATGGAGATAAAACCCCAAAGACTTGGGAGGGACGTCTCATTGCTGCTACCTTTTCATTGATTGGTGTCTCATTTTTTGCACTTCCTGCGGTGAGTATTATTTGGAGTGGTCATTGTCCTCCGGGATGGTCTTCTTTCTGCGATTCTCCATGCTATTGTGTCGGTTTTATCCAGAGCATTGAAAACATTGCAGACCAAGTATTTTTATAAATATAGCAACAACAAAAAAACACAGCGGTCCGCACACATGGGCAAATCCAAATACTACTTCACAAATGAAAAAAAGGTGATGAAAAAGTAGCACATTTACAGAAAAAAGTCATAGAAATAAATACACATGGCATCACACTGTAACAGCAGTCCTCGTGGAGGCTAAGGTAGTTCCAATATCATATGTACAAAATAGTATCAAGTGTGTAAAATAACAGTATCAAAAGGGGGAAAAAAAAGATAGATGGACACAAGTCTCTTTTCAGCTATGTAACTATGTAACTATGTAATAAATACTGAGTGAATGAGCTACCCGCAACTACTGTTTAGGGGAGAGACCACCTAAGAAGACCACTCAGAAAACGGTAAGTGATGTCCTGGACAGATGCCCCACCTGGTGCTTACAAAACATGGGCATGAAGAGAGATTCCCAGAATAACAAGGAGAACGAGGCTTACACATCTGAGAAAGCACACACCTTTGAGAAAGCACCCTTAGGGGCCGGAATGTTAATAACCATGAAGATCCATTAATAATTGAAAATTCCCAATTATATATATTAATTTTTTTGGCCAATTAGTCTGATCCTTTGGAGTGCTCAGATTCTTGTCAGAAATGTTCCCCGTCAAGAGTTTAGTTTATTTTGTATAATTGTGGAGAACTGGAAGTTGTTCACAAATTCCTTTATAATTTTTATATTCCTTGGCGGGGTAGTTTAACAAATACTTGTTGCCCTCTGCTATCAATTCACAGAGGGGAACCTGGATTCAGTAATGAAGTAATTACTTTAGAAGTTAGAATGCTCCAAGCTCGTAGTTATTTACGGTGGACGAGGCCCCTGTTGGTTGCCCATTCTGTCCATTTTAAGTTTTGAATATCTAAGGCAGAATGTAATGGGGACTTTTCAATTATTAATGGATCTGCATGTTTATTAACATTCCGGCACAAGGAGTGTCAAGGGTGTGGGCTTTCTCAGATGTGTAGGCCTCGTTTTCCTAGTTACCTCTTTCATATATTCTGGGAATCTCTCTTCATGCCCATGTTTAGAAAGGTAGGGTGCAAAACACTTTCAGGCCATAACTTACCATTTTCTGAGTGGTCTTCTTAGGTGGTCTCTCCCCTAAACAGTAGCTGCGGGTAGCTCATTCACTCTGTATTTATAATTTTTTTCCCCCTTTTGATACTGTGTTATTTTACACACTTGATACTATTTTGTTCATATGATATTGGAACTACCTTAGCCTCCACGAGGACTGCTGTTACAGTGTGATGCCATGTGTATTTATTTCTATGACTTTTTTCAGTAAATGTGCTAATTTTTCATTGCCTTTTTTCATTTGTGGAGTCTTTGGATTTGTCCATGTGTGCTGTTTTTTTCTGGTAATATTTTTGAATATTTGAGAATGGTCCAGCACCAAGGAGTTAATTGTTAATCCTATTAGTCCTGATACAGCCTCTTAATCAAATGTATTATTTTTGAGTGAGGGATCCCACTTCACCAAATTTATGTCAAAGTATTTTCATGTTGTTTCCATTACAGCAATGTTATATTAGGAATGTATGTTAATAATATTCTCTCTGTTGATAGTGATTACATATACATTCCATAATGTATTCATTTTATACAGATACCTTAGCATCTATGGAAGGAATGTATAAAAACTATTGTGTTCAATTTCAGCCAATCAACTGCTATTCATTGTGTTGAAGAGCATACAGAGAGGCACTATACTACTAGAGTAGATTTTGTACTCCTTTAGTGACCACAAGGTGACCTAGCAATATTTTGACGGTACTGGATGTTTGTCATACATTCATTTTATAATAATGAATGCATTGGTTGGACAAGAATTATGGAATTACCTTGGTTGGACAAGAAAGGATCTTAAGTTTGAAATACAATGACATCTTCCTCATTTACATAGTTTCAAACATTATTAATTATTATTATTTTATTATTTATATAGCGCCAACAAATTCCGTAGCGCTGTACAATGGGTGGACTAACAGACACATAATTGAGATCAGACCACTGACGTACAGGAACAGAGGGGGTTGAGGTCCCTGCTCGATGAGCTTACATGCTAGAGGGAGTGGGGTATAGGGACACAAAGGGTTAAAGTAGGGGAATTAAATAGTTTGTTAGAGAAGGGTTTATTGAGTGCTTGGTATGTCATTTTTGACAGGTGCAGGAACGGAGTCATGGGGTGGGGGATGAGAAACCTGCTGACAGTTTAATTGATACTCTTTAATGAAGAAGTGAGTTTTCAAAGATTTTTTGAAGGAGTGGAGGCTGGCTGAAAGTCTGATTGAGGAGGGAAGGGAGTTCCACAGAATAGGTGCAGCCCTGGAGAAGTCTTGAAGGCGAGCATCAGAGGTGGGGATCCAGGCAGAGGATAGGCGTAGGTCTTGGGCTGAGCGCAGGGGTCTCGACGGGACATACTTGTGTATGAGGGAGGATAGGTATGTTGGAGCAGCATTATGTAGGGATTAGTAAGCAAGCGCCAGAATTTTGAATTGGGCCCTATATCTTACTGGAAGCCAATGCAGGGACTGACAGAGCGTGGAGGCGTGGGAGGTGCGACCGGACAGGAAAATAAGCCTCGCAGCCGCATTCATTATAGATTGCAGCGGTGCAAGCTGGGAACATGTAAGACCGGTGAGAAGGGAATTGCAATAGTCAAAGCGAGAGAGAACAGCAGCATGAACCAGTACCTTAGCCGCGTCCGGCGTTAGATATGGGCGGATGCGCGCTATGTTCTTGAGTTGGAAGCGACAGGATTTGGCTATCGATTGAACATGGGGAGTAAAAGAGAGATCAGAATCAAAAAGAACCCCTAGGCAGCGAGCCTGGGAGGTAGAGGTGATAGTAGCACCGTTGACTTGGATGGAGACAGACACAGGAGTAGCAGCACTTGAGGGAGGAAAAACTAGAAGTTCTGTTTTGGACAGGTTGAGTTTAAGGAAGTGAGCAGCCATCCAGTTGGAAATAGCAGAGAGGCAGTCAGAATTCAGACATGGATGGTGTGGCCATGTCAATGAGCTGTGTTTGTATTTTCTAATCTGACATATCTAGTGATACCCGCTGACTAACAAACTGGTGATGCTCAGAGGCTTCAGGTTTTCCCAAGAACCTGGAGAATGATAGAAAACTATAGCAGTAGGAATGCAAACCTAATGATAAGGTGTCCCTGTCCCTAGCTCTCTATAAGTCGCCTCTCCATTTGTAATAAATAATAAAATTTATTTACCTTTTTCCAGTGCTGAGGGAGCCTCTCCAACTACCTTTAATGCCACGAAGGAGGCATGATCTCCTCCAATCCACTGCTTCTCTTAGAGGAGCATTGGGGACATAAAGCACATGCGCGGCAACTGCTGCCCACTTTATAGCTTCCTCACGGTGTTGGGTAATCTAAGGTTTTATATGTATGGAATATAGATTGAATAATATCTGATGATATTCACACACACATAGAGCCTTCAGGGACCCTGTAGTTCTTTGTTTTAAGCGGTGATATAAACACTTATGGACGGCAGATGGCCAATAAACAGACTTTGCTTAAAATATATATAAATTTAATAATACACACTAGAAAATGCAAAGCAACAAAACAATACAACTATAATCAATTTGCTGTATTATATATGAGTTTATATCAACAAGTCAATTAGTTTATTTGACAAGCCTAAGAGTCAACATTACACTTTGTCTCATCTATAATCTTATCAGCAAAGGACAATAAAATATATTACAAACTTCACAGCAGAACCAGTATACCGAATTATTCATATGACACCCCTTGCATTAATGATACAATTGTTATTATATTAATTAGTTAAATATCAACCAACCCTGACAAGTATATACCATCAGTTTAACTACAGTACGTTTATATAAGGTTTCTGATAGCCTTAGTATATATATATTGAACTGATCTACGTCTAAAGAAGGAATCAAGAATGTTCTGACTTAGGAAGTTATAGCTGACTCAGGCTGCAGGTAGAATGAGATATAACTGTTCTGTCAATAGGGATCAGTTCACAAGATAGACACATAGGGCATTCGATATTCCAGTTTATTTAATATAAAGTAAAGAGAAACCGTTATACATTACCAAGAGTCTAGGATGAAGGAATTCAATTTGGGATTCTCATCTCTGGGTGCTCTGGTCTGTAACTCAGTCTATTGCCCTTAGTCAGTCAATCTCCTCCTTTCTTAGCCCTCTGTTTTCTCCTTTGATATTTTTTAAGATGATCTGAAGATATTCCTCCTCTCTCTTATTTTTTTCCCTATTTAACCATTATTTCCCCCTTATCAGTTCCTGCCCCTTGTTTGTAAATGGGCGGTACCTGGGACTTAAATCTGGCTTTTGATTGGTTATGGGGGTATCTTAATATTTAATTATTAATGTGGCCCTTAGGGACTTTCACCAATAGATGGCACTATTTCCCTAGGCATGAAGACCTAAATTAGATCATTGATGACCTGGTTAAACAAATGAATTGACCTTTAATTCGCCTATACTGGGGATATTTCAAATAACGTTAAATATCTGTCTTTGGTTATGTATATTCTTTGATTAAAACAGGGTTGGTTATATTAATCATAATGCAATATGTCTATACCCTGTATCCATCTAACCTGTATGAATAACTGATTGATACATTCATCTTTACAAAGAAATATAGAATCTAATTATATTAGTACCCCTAAATCAGTCAAGGATGCAGTTTTAGACATTACTGTAGCAATCACACATTTAGTTTACATTTGTATATCATGCATGATTCCAATAGATTAATTTAAGTTCTAATATCCTGAAAATATGGAAGTGACCTCAGACTTTGGGTTCGTATGGCTGACAAACACTCTGGATTGCCTGTGATGTTTATGCACAAATAATTGCATAGTTTGTATACCCCTTTGAAGCTCTGTGAGTTTAAGTATCTCGAATTGTAAAGTCCCATTGAGTAATAAACGATTGTTCTCGTTACCCTTGTACACATATAGCTCACAAATTAAACTGTAGATAAGTATTCCTCCTGTTTACTTCTTAAGGTTACAAAATACAAAGTTCCTTTGACCTGTGTTGAAACAGCATTACGTAATGTCCAGGCCAAGCTCACCAGCATCCATATTATTTTTCTTTTAATATTAAAAATTATGGGGCACCAAATAGCAGAACAACAGGAAAGCATTATTATCCATTCCTGTATCATGTGACCAAGTTTTACTTGGTCGATGCACCGGAAGTGCCAGTAGTGCCTGTCATATTTGACATCCACTAGAGGTGGACTTAACTCTGCAATGTATACATTGTAGTTTCTAACAGTGTTTCACATTGCAGGGTTAAAAAGACAAATATATTGCACCCAGACCACTTCATTGAGATGAAGTGGTCTGGGTGATTATAGTGTCACTTTATGCTTTTCTTGCCAAGTTTTCCCTTAGTTTTGTGATGTCAGACCCAGCTTGTAGACCAGTTTTACAAGAACCAGACCTCTGTGGAAGTGAACTGCTATCTGAAAATTACTCAGCCTAGTTCTAAACTTTCATTCTCCTCTGTAGAGCAGAAGATAGAGCTCATCCAGCCTCACCTCTATGAAGCTGGAGGAGATAAACTACTATGTGAAGCTAATTCCTAATTACTGGCTTCAGTCTTCATGACAGCCAAATGGTGTATTGACCATATTAGCAGTGAATCCAGTTGCCAAACTTGTCTAACAAATAAGTTTAATCCAGTCCAGTGGTAAGTTCCAGCCCTTATGTGCAAAAGTTGATAGAACGATGGGGTTGATATAATCCACATCCCAGATGTGTACAGCAGAGGGACCTGGGATCGCCTGTGCCTCATCCGCAAAGTCCAAGGAATTGAGAAATGTTTTCACGTTCACCAAAACAGTACTTTCTGGTTGTCTTTTGATCTACAATTAGTTAATGCTGTTTATTCCATCTGTATGTATTCACTTGAAATCTTGGTGGAAAATGGGATAGATTGCCTCCAAATACCTATATTCTAAAATATAGTAGAATGGGTTTCAGATTGTAGCATGGTTTTATTATTGACTGCTAGCAATATGGTGAAAGCAGATAAACATGTCTTTAGGAACTTGGTCTGCTGCTGTGGGTGAATTAGGCAGCCTTGTAAAACCATCAGGCATTGAATTTTTTAGCTTGTTTAGAGGAAAAAACTAATTGTCAGAATAGTTGGGGTAATTCTTCATAGTCCACGGACTCTGGAAGACCACACTTTGTATCATCTGCCAAGATATTATCAAAGTAAAGAATTTCACTGTTTGAATCCACATCCACAGCTTCAAATATCTCTGTTATGATCCTAGATCCTGTCTACACACTGCTTGGTCCTCTGCAAACATCCACTGGATTTTGTCCATTATGGAGGGCAGAGGAAGTGTTAGGATCACCTATTATGCTTCCAGTTGTGGTTCCAATCTGGCTCAGGAGAGATATACTTAACATCTTCTTTCTCCTTGTCTGGCCTGGTTACCAATATAGATTTAAGCATTTGGTACTTTGTTAACAGATCTTTCTTGCCCATTGCAAGAGTTTGGAGCAAAAATCAGCATTTAAAGACGCTTTAAAAATCTTAAAGACATAACGTTTGGGGTTCATACATTGGCTCCATTCAGATATTGCTCTGTCCCCAACAGATTACAACTCTTTAGTGACTGTACTCCCATTCTCAGAGTTCATTTGCACTTTATTCTAGAATATCAATCTAAAGTTAGAATCTCCCTAAGTGCCAGAAGTCCATACGGTATGTATACACCATGAGAGAGCAGCTGTGAGCCAAAGCATGGTCTGCTGCAGTGACCACATTGTCTGACAACTGTTCGTTATTTCATAGTGTGGGAGAGGAACACGCAACCCACCGAGTGCATTGGGTATTTATAATGCCTGAAAATATTTGTGGAAGGGGCTCATTTCAGACTAGTTTCTGTTTGAATCTCTGTGCATTGTGAATGACCTGAAATAAATAATAAATCAACCAGATGTGCCTTCCTTCAAAAGTTGACATCAGCCTGACAACTCCGATGACATGCGGCTTGTGCTGTGTGTGTTTTCTCTTTTGGTGTCATGCTGCTTTATTGCACCTGGTTTCTAAGGCATCTGACTTAATGTAATGCCCTGCTGATTCGTAGAGCTGTGAAAGAAATACATGTCACAAAATGGTTTCACCTATCAATCTGAAAATGACAGCCTTTGAATCACTATTTTTTTTTTTCAGGGAATCTTAGGTTCTGGCCTGGCTCTCAAGGTTCAAGAGCAACATCGTCAAAAACATTTCGAGAAAAGAAGGAAACCAGCAGCAGAGCTAATTCAGGTTTGTTTGTTTTTTGGTTTTGCAATTATATAACTCATATGAACAATGGCCAGATTGGAATCTTCATACACGTCAGTGTATCCGAAGAGAAGAAAAGAAGACTCATAGGGTAGCAAGGGATAAACACCAAAAAGGGTGGGGTTTCAAGGTTACACTCACAAAGAGACTGCAAGTTCAAGCTCATCAGTGTAATGTTGATTAAATGTTGACAGATGAATGGCACATGTGAGGAAACAAAAGTGAAAATATAGTGCAACACAGTAAATGTATCAAAACATGCAATTAATTAGATAAAAATGTACGAAAATCCCATCAACAAATGGTCAAGAAATTGCTGTCTCTTTGTGAGTGTAACTTTGAAAACTCACCCTTTTTGGTGTTTATACCTTACTACCCTCTGAGTCTTTTTTTCTCTTTGTAGATTTTTTTCTGTTTAATCTTAACATTTTGAGGATATAGAGGAATCCTTTATTATATATACCAATTGTATATGAGAGGGGTAATTACCATTTCATTTATTCATTTATTCACTTTAAAGTGGTTATAAGTGTTTTTTTTACGTCAGTGTATCTACCACATTCTAAATCCTCACTTCAATGAGATCGTCCTTTTTTCTTGGAATGTTACATAATAATCTAATCTGCGGCTTCTGAGGGGACTTCCCATGGACATTTTAACCATTTTCCATTCTAGATTTTTGTTCACTGTGTCTTGGCGCTGGAGGCTCCCAGTTTCCCTGGAATGACAGAAGTTTATAGAATAGAGAAACAAAACCTTTTATATACACATGCATGCAGTACAGAATACGATTTACGTTATCACATATATCTATCATGGGTAAAAATAATATTATTAGTGCCTTCACACAGACTAAAAACCTAACTCATTATTATATTTTACCATATTCCCACAACTGATTTAAGACTAGAGGAGTTGGCAATAAAATATCAGTTAGTGGCAATGAAAATGGAAAAGTAAGCACAAAGCCCTGAGGCTCATGAGATTCCTCAATCCTATGTGTCTTCTCTGAGACTGTCGATGATGGGATAGTCTTGGAGCATGCTGTAAATTAGTCTATGGCCGCCTCTGGTGGCACTTGCTCTTCCTGAACATTAGACCATAAAGTGTTTTCGCACATCAGATGCCAAATGCTGATAGACTAGGTGGCTGCTCTGGTAAGTAGCCATCCTCCATTGATACTTTACATCTTCAGTGGTTGTGTGGACATATGACATTAGGCAGGCAAATCTTATTCTGTGCTCCATCCCCATCTTGTTAGCTATGGTCACATTATTTTGTTATGTGTTAGCATTTTAAAAGCCCTAAGGGCTGAATAAAATACGTGGGTTTTATATTTCTGTCTGTTCCCGTTTACCTTTCTCCATCCCATATGACAAAAGAGTGGATGTCCTGCGGTCCAGTCCATACGCAGCTTTCCTAACTACGTGTATAGATAAGAAACATTTTTTTAGAATTGGGAGGTGTGGGAGGGGACAGATTTACAGTGCATAATGCTGTAAAACACTTTCTTTTGAAAGAAATATGTAATGGAACATGCAGAAAATAATAAATAACATGTATTCTTGAGACTAAAATCTATTAAAAATATTTTTAGTTAATATTTGTGACCAGATTTTCCCTTTAACTTTGTTATAATGCCGAAAAGTAGAGTGGAGTAAGTCTAGGAGAAAGATAAGTATTCATTTTAAGGAGTTGTATTTATACAAATGTAATGTAAACATCACGGTATAAGCTCGTGGAAACAGTGAAAAAAGATTTATACTGACATATAAACAAGTAATGAAAAACAGAACTCAAACATTGCAGAAAAAGCCCTAGGCTAATTCCAGAAGCATAGGTGGTTTATATGCTTATTAAGAGCAAAAAAAAAAGTAAAAGGGAGAAAAACAGCCCCGAAGATGAGTAAAAACAAATACAAAAAATGGGCAGAAAGGGGAAATAATTTGAATTAAGGAGCAGGAAGGGGGCCACTTCCCCTGCCAGTCTCTACACTCCCCATGTGTTTCTCATCAAGGAACTCAAGCCAAGGGGTCCAAGTGAAGTGATATCACTCCTGTCTATGGTGTTCCTTAACTTTTTCTACCCATTGTTGGAATGTCGGAGGGCGAGTGCCAGGATTAACGTTTTGGCAGCATTTAGAAGGTGCTTTTTTTTGTAGATGGAAATGAGCAATCTGGGATTTTGTAGGACTAAAAGGAGAGGAACTCACAAGTAGACAACACAAGGTAGAGTGAATACAAAATATGCAGTCCCCTCTTTTGTCCTTCAGTATCAATAGGAGCTAGTCTGATACAGAAATATAGAATGCAAAAGCTTTGTAGTTCTGTGTAGTTTATTATTTTTCTCCTGTATTTCTGAGGAAATGGTGCTCTGGAGTTTTTAAAAGAAGATTTTCATCCACTGTTCTTCTCCGAAAACTCACCCAAGTGCATCCTTTTTTATTCACATATATGTGTTAAGTATCATTATTGACCCCTTTTTATTTTTTTCAAACACATATAGAATATTCTTGCAAAAATATTATGTATTGGAATCCCAATCATATTGTAGTCTCTACAGAACAAATTGTGTGCGTACTCTCTAAGAATATGCACAAAAAACTCAATGGCAGGATAGGACCCCAAAACTGGGATTGTTGGGAGGCTCGCTGCAGATACTCACAGTGTATTGACTAAAGTGGGAATTCAGGGTGAATTCAAAGTGAATTTCAAAGTTAAAGGACCACTCTAGGCACCCAGACCACTTTAGCTTAATGAAGTGGTCTGGGTGCCTGGTCCAGCTAGGCTTAACTCTTTCTTTTATAAACATAGCAGTTTCAGAGAAACTGCTATGTTTATGAATGGGTTAAGCCTTCCCCCAATTCCTCTAGCGGCTGTCTTATTGACAGTGAGAGCACGCAAGCGTCCATAGGAAAGTATTGATAATGCTTTCCTATGTGACCGGCTGAATGCGTGTGCAGCTCTTGCCGCGCGTGCGCATTCAGCCGATGGGGAGGAGAAGAGGAGGATCGGAGGAGGAGAGCTCCCCGCCCAGCGCTGGAAAAAGGTAAGTTTTATCCCCTTTCCCCCTTCCAGAGCCGGGCGGGAGGGGGACCCTGAGGGTGGGGGCACCCTTAGGGCACCATAGTGCCAGGAAAACGAGTATGTTTTCCTGGCACTATAGTGGTCCTTTAAGGTAAAAAAAAAATGGAAAAAATTTCTCTAAATCAGCTATCCATTCAGTTTGGCTTTTCTGTCCTGTAATATGAAATTCACTTAGAATTTACTTTGTATCCACACTTTATTAAATAACCCAGTAAAAACTCTACCAGTTTCCAATCATTTCTTTAATTGATAAAAAAAAATATACTATTAACATTTCTGTTATGAAAGTATTCTCATGTCACCTGCACAAACCTTTTGCACAGAAGTGAATGGATATGATCCCTACCTCATCATTTAATGTAAATGAAACCATTGTAAGTGGTGTATTGAGTAACGTGTCATATACGTGGAGTGCCAATGAAACCTGTGCCTGTGTAAACCCTTGGTCTCACACTGCTGACACTACAACAGTATTGACTTTAAACAGCGATAAGTGAATGAGGGAATGGGACTGATTTACTAAGCCTACAATATCATTATTCAGCGTTATCAGTTCATACACTTCCTTACAGCAAAGGCTCTTTTTTTTTTTGCTCTTGCATTTCTGTAAACCAATGTTCTGATTTTCTTGGCTTTGCAGTCTGCGTGGAGATATTACGCCACTAATTTAGGCAGGATTGATCTGACTGCGACATGGAGATATTACGAAACTGTTGTGCAGTTACCATATTTTAGGCAAGTATTATACCCTACATGTGTTGTATCTTTCTACTTACACTACAAAACATGGCTTTGTGCATCTATTACATTTCTAGACTACCAGTATTATGTTTATATAATCTTTCTGTTCCCATATAATTTTATTTTTGGGTATTTGGGATTACTTATTTGTGTTCTCTGGACTGCACTTGTTATTGCTCCATTTTATGACATTTGATAACCATCCATGTATCACTTCTACATCATAAGTATTTCTTCTAAAGCACTGGGATTTGTAAAAAAAAATAGACACTATAGATATCAGAACAATTACAGTTTAATGTAGTTGCTTTTGTGTGTAAGGTATGTCCCTGTAGGCTTTTAATGTAAACACTGCCTTTTCAGAGAAAAGGCATTGTGTACATTACTGCCTAGGAACACCTCTAGTGGCAGTCACTCAGATGGCCACTAGAGGTGCTGCGCAGTGTGGCGCTGAATGCTTCTCATAAAAGACATTCTAATAGGTGCAGCACAATGTTTTGCTGCGCATGCTCAATAGCCTTCCAATGCTTTCCAGTAGGAAAGCATTGGATTGGCTGAGATCATCAAGTTTGATTATCTCAACCAAGCAGGTGGTGTGGAGCAGGTGGTGTGGAGCAGGTTTAGGTACGACGAGACAGGTGAGTCGCTGAAAAAGGTGAGTAAAAAAACTTTTAAAACTAATCAGAGGGGACCGGATAATTAAACAGTATTTTTACAACTATAGTGTCAGGAATACAATGCAGCAAAATTTGGAACCAAAATGAAACATGAATGCCATGATCCCCATTATTCCATAACAAATTAGATTGCTGTTAAGAAGATTAGCTCCCTAATTTGATATCCTTAAAAATAGTAATCCCGCATAAGTGTGAGACTCCTGTCCTGCTGAATGGCGTGTATAAGCAAGATACAGATTCTAAGACCATTCATTGGTTGTGTTGGGCAATGAATAACATTCTGTACATAGAAATATACATAGTATTGATATTACTTGTTGTGTAGGCTGTAAAGGGTGAGGGAAGCTGGAGTGAGTATAGGGCTAAGGTAGTTTTGGTTATTGCTGGTGTGCAGCATACTGAATAATAGGTTATAGTTTGGCTGGGTAGAGCAGAGGTATCGTCACTGCCATACATCTAGGAAACCAAGATTTAAATCCCAGGCAGACACATTAACAGTAAGACGCTTAATGTATAACTGTCTACCACAGATTGTAAGCTTATTAGAGCAGGCCTTTCCTTAATTGTAAATTAGGAAAATATCTAAATACTCATAATGTTAGTTTAAAGAGACACTATAGGCATCAAAATAACTCCAGCTTAATGAAACAGTTTTTGTGTATAGATTTTGAAGTTTCACAGCTCAATTATCTGCTATTTAGGGGTCAAATCCCCTGGCTGTGACTGACACAGCCTGCATTACAACAAATGGTTTCATTTTCAATCAGATGTTAACCTACTTTAGAAGTTTTTATATTCTGCTCTGTAAATTGGACTTTAATCACACACAGGAGTCTCCTGTATGCTATAAACAGAGCAGGAGGAAATAAATTCTAGAATAAACAGACTGTGCATCTAAAATATCTAGGTTATCTTACAGGAAGTGTTTAGGATGGCTGTGTAAGTCACAGGGAGAGAGGTGTGACTAGGGCTGTGTAAACAAAGTGGTTTAACTCCTAAATGGCAGAGAATGGAGCAGCGAAACTACAGAGTCATAATCTATACACCAAAACTACTTCATTAAGCTAAAGTTGTTTTGGTGAATTTAGTGTCCCTTTACTACTATATTGTGCATGTATAATATCACTGGCAGTTTCTGCTATTTTCAATTTATAATAACACTTTTACATCTTTACACAGTTTAAGTACAGTTCATATCATAATACATCTTACTGTATAACTTTTGTAAACTGTATTTGCGGCTGCTTTAATTTTAATGTGTTTCTTTTTTCCACTTTTTCTTGCGTTTCACTTTCACGTAAAGGAAAGAGCAAATTGATGGAGCTCCTAGGTAGGTTTCTAACGTAACTAACATAGACAATATATGTGCTTTCCTTTTCTTTCTTTCAAACCTCTATACTGTTAGTGGAATGTCGCTCTTATCAGGGTTGTTTCTTTAATTTGATCTTTTTTGTCCCTTTGTTTACACCCAGCTGAACCTTTTTACTTTGCTTTCATTTTAAAGATAATTATTCTGTTTTCCTTTTGCCTGTTACTTTTGTTTCAAATTATTGAACTGAAAGAAAATACTAATAAATGCTGTGTTTATGTTAAACCTCTCAACATATGTAATGAATGTATTATATTTGTGAAAGTTTTTTTATTATAATTCTCTTTTTATTAAGGTTGCAGTAGATATTGTAGCATTATCATTTGGAGTACAAAACAAAGGGTGCGTTAACATTTGTAGTATAGTGAACACATAAGGTTTGTATCATTGGTCAATTTTTATGTCGTACACATCAGAGCATACAGTGTCATCATAGATAAGGTAACAAACACCAAAGGAGATACAAAAATAAAAATATCACACTGTTGGTTACTGTGAGGAGCCCACATCTATCAGGTATCGCGGGGTATCTGGCTCTGTAAGTGTGAAGCAAATTCTGTGTGTGTGTGCCCATTAGGCCACCAACCCGGTGGTCATTTTCATTCTGTATAGTGTTGGTGGTTCGTTTGCACTCAACACTCGTTTGCACTCAACAAGATAGATAATTGTAACCATCTTTTGTAACCCTTTAAGGACACATGACATGTGTGACATGTCATGATTCCCTTTTATTCCAGAAACTTGGTCCTTAAGGGGTTAAATAGTAAAAATCTAACTAAATTACAAACAAACAAATACGTTATTCAAGACAATTGAAAACATCTCTCTGTCCCTTGTCCACCAAATACTCATGCTTTATCTATACTATTAGTATGTGCCTTGCTAGTACTGTTTTTTCTGTTAAATAAAAGGGTAATGTGGTGGTCTTAAGTTGTGTGCATTTCAATAAGCCATGGGTCCCATATTTTGTAGCTTGGCTGTCAGCCTGTCCATCTCAACTGCTTCTGCTATCTTACGGGTGACTGTTGCAAGTGCCGTCCAAGTACTAGTGATGTTTTGTTGACCATCTTGTTTTGGACCCTAGTAAATAAGTCCCATAGTCTGGCGAGTAGCCAGATCCGAGGGTCTAATGGAATGTCTATCTGCAAGAGCCTAGATGTTAATTTAAAAATCTCTGCCCATAATGGTGTTAAAAGTGGGCACTGCCACCAAAAGTGGTTATATGTTCCCCTGTATCCACAGCGCTTCCAACAAAGATCGAAATCATATCTACTATACGGAAAAGTTGAATGGGTGTAAGGTACTATCTTAAGAGGGTTTTGTTGGCTCTATGTGGTTAAAGCATATAGAGATGGAGGCTTTGACTGCCTGTGAACAAGTGGATTTATCTAATCAGATTGTTGTTCTCATAATGTGCAAAGTCCTTTGGCGACATAGCTGGTGGAAACAATTTGTTGCGTAGGAATGGGGTTGAGGGCGAGAGATCATTGATGATTTGAAATTGTTTTTGTAACCTTGAGTTATAGATGGATAGTGTGATGAACGCCCTTTGGTCTGGTCGTTCGCCACAAGCTCCTTGTGGAGCCTGCTAGCCAGCCTCCTGCCCCAGGACTATGGCCATGGAACTGTCTCATAAAAAGACTTGGTTTGTGGGATTTATTTGTTCTGTTCAGGAACCGAACCAACTAATGAACTGCGGACCACCTCTGTGCTTGTTAAACCCGGTTAACCTCTCCTGACACTTCTATCATCGTGGGTTTTAATTGTGCTGCTGGGTGGCCGCCACGTGGGAACTATGTCGGTTGCCACCTTGTGTTCGCAAGAATGCAGGCGGCAGTGTTTTGGCGTCGATCGCTTGGAACTCAAATTGGACACTAAAACTCCCGAACACCGCTGAACTTTGACGAGCGCCTGCTTCTTTCCCACACATGTCAGGAGAGCAGGTAGGAAGAATGTAGTCTAGCTTCATCTTGCGCAGTTATGTTGAGAGGGCTTTGGTCATTTTCATGTTGAGTTTGTAACCTGACAACTCTGAATAGTTTACAAGGAGGTCTAGTAGAGGGGGCAGTGCCCCCAGTGGGTTCGTAATCATCAGGAAGAGGTCGTCGACATAATTTGTTTGTGTGTGAACTGTGATACCAGTGACAGCGTGTGTTGCGCTGATGAGTTGGAGCAATGGTACCAGTGATAGAGCAAAGAGTATAGGGAGAGAGGGCATTACTGTTATTATTGTGCCCATGACCTCCTCCACAATTTATATAGAAACAAGTGTATTCGCACCTGGAGGTGGTCTGTTTGTTTCCTATGGTGGGGGGATTGATAATCAAGGTCATTGAAGAAGGTGTGAAAGAGCTCAGCCATTTTGGTTGGCAGCTCTGTGTGTTGTCCGGAAGAGGTTCGTAGTTTGCCAGTGTGTTTGGCCTGCGATTGTTTTGCGGAGCCTACTTGCTAGATGGGTATCAGCTTAATTAGTCTTTTCATAAAACAGTTGTTTTGCCTTAACAGCATCTGTGGCCATCTCGGAAAGGAGGGTCTGTCTATGGGCTTGAAGTCGTTTTGTCTGGTGTAGGTTGTTGTTTGTGTGTGGCGTCTAATGGCTTTGAGCAGGGAGTCTATCTTTGCTAGACGTGCCTTTTTTTGTGCTGAGGCTAACCTGTTTAGTGTTCCCCTGAGGTTTTGTGTGGCACTCATAAAGACGCCTGTGATCTAACCAAATGTTGGTTTTGTTGAAAAATAATTAGTCATTTCTTTCTTAGTGTCAGCCATAATTTTCGGGTACTGGAGATGACCTGTTTTGCATATGAGAATAGCCACGCCGTTGTGTTTGCCTGTGTTAGTGTTGACTAGATGACATCCTCGGAAGTGTCGACTCAGGAAAGGGAAGGGGCATGTTTCTGAGAAGTGGGTTTCCTGTAGAAATATTAAGTCAGTTTTAGTGCGATTTGCCCATCACATCACACGTCTTTTAGAGGGGTTGCTAAGGCCTTTACAGTTAATAGAAATACAAGTTGGGGACGGGGCCTAACTCTCAAGATGGCCGGACGCACTTGCTAGAAGCTCCTGCCGCAAAAAGCAAAGAGTATAGTGAGAGAAGGCATTACATTAAAGTAGTAGTCTACTTTAAAACTAGAAACTACCTAAACAAAAGCGGAACACGATTCAAAACACGCAGCAGAACAGTGCACTACCATAGGGGATGCTGATAATCCTTGAAAATCCTATTCTGGAGCGGCAGAGACGGCCGACCTCCCGCCCGGAGCCATATAGCTCACAGCGACTTCCGTGAGGTCCCGAGCTCCACCCCCCCGGCCTGTGGGGAATATCCTAGTTCCTGCTGGGGAACTTACCTCGCAGCTGCACCAACAGAGGCTGATCTTGAAACAGTGTGGGGAACCCAAGATGGCCGCCGAGCTGCAGCCCTCACCCCAACTATCAAGCTCAGACCAGAACTGGGAAGCACAATTCAAAGCAAACTTTGAAAAGCTATGCCAGGAGTTGTTCTGGCTCCGAATAAGCAAGCGCTCATGCACACACGGCGCCCACTACACTCTTACCAGAGAGGCCATGTCCTGCAGTGAACCTGAGCCCGGGAAAAACACCACCACACTCGCCTGTGATAGCGGGATGTCCCCGTCAAGCTTGGCGGAGCAGCAGAATGCTCCACAACTGCGGGAGAGACCAATATGGGCACCGTGCCGTCAGAAGTTCGGCTCCCGGCTGCATCGCCACAAACACCCAGATCGCGGTCTGCACAGGGTCATCACCCCCTCCATGACTCACCCCACGGGAACATACAGGGCTTGCATACGAAGCTGCTGATCAATGAAGCTGGCTGGAGCTCTAAATCAAACAACATGGTCTAGGAATGCATGGGAGACTCTCTGGGGACTTGGGGACTCACATCTCTCATGGGTGGCATGCCATGTCGGGTTGGTGTGGGCTGAAATCTAGATGGCCACAGGGCCTCTGTATCTCAGTTTGGGTCCTTGGGCCGTTAAAAGTTTCCCACTGTTTAAGAGATCTCAGCGGTTTTTTCTCTCACTCTACCCTATACTAATCCTGCTAAACTAATCTCTTACAATTCTACCTTAACTTAGCTACACCGTGAAAATAAGCATGCTTTTATCTATTATTTACTAAGCAAACAATGTCTATGTTTAGAAAAGCTAACTAATATTCTTGTTTAACTGAATCTACCGGCTACAGACATATGTACCTAATCTGAATATACTTAAACATAAAATTAGTGCTTTACTCTCACAATTACACATGTTTATTCTACATGTTTATTCTCACAATGTCACATGTATTTTTGTAGTGCGTATAGAGCGTTACAAATAAGCTGTTGGGGCAATGCAGGCTTATTAGTAACGCTCTATACGCACTACAAAAATAAACAATTATAAAAAAATAAGAAATACAAGTTAGGGTGGGTTGCATGTTTATATGCGTTAGTTAGCTGAGGAGTCCGAGAGATGGAGAGAGAAAAATTCCCCAACTATCTTGCCAAGTGGAAGGACCATAAGTAACGAACAAATGACCCTGTGTTTAATAGTGAATGTTAATCTTGACATGGCAGAGGTTTGAGAATGTTTCATGATTCAATGTAAATGCAAAGTGAACTTCAGACTTAAAGCCAAAGTAGCTGACTTGGGGAATTTTTCAACTTGGCTACATTGGTCTCAGATTTTTAAATTTACTTTTAATTCCTGCCAATTCTCACCTTGCCTGAATAACTGAGCATTGGAAGACTCTAGGCTTGATTCCCCTTTTATGGAAATGTTCACAAGCATTAAAGGTTTTTCAGTTCTATACATTTTCAGTTCTAAGGTTTGCTTTAATGGGTCTACGTTGCATGACCTTACAAAAGACAATCGTAAATGTAATGCAGTCCATATATTTTATTACACATATATTTTATTGGATTATTGTGCCAGATGCAGTAGTAACTGTCAGCCAGTAGGTGTCACTGTGGGTTTATTTCTTGCTGTATAAAGAATTGCATCTCTGGATTGAGCTGTTAGATGGATAAAAAAAAACAGAACATTTTATTGTTTTAGAAATAAAATACATAATTACTTTAGAATTATCTCTAAGTTGGGAAATGGAATCCTAACAAATATGACAGTGGCAGGACATTCTAAAGACAGGGTCAATCTCAGTAGGTCGGAGTCTCGCATCTGTGATAGGATTCTTGGTAATCAATTTGATTAGTGATTGAAATGTAATTAAGAGAATATGTCTTGACATTTATTCAGAAGTTTAAGCAAACGAACAATGAAAAGTCATTCTGTGGTCTAATGAAGTCCCTTCTATTCTGTGGTCATTGATTTTTTTTCTTTCTTTTTTTTTTTTTTTTTTTTACTTTTTCCGAGATAATAATTTTTTTTTACTGAAGCTGCTATTTAATTTCATTTTCTTGTGTTTAGAAAAAAGCAAGTTACTTTTTACATTTTTTATATTTATGGTTTTCACCAAATATCACATTTACAGTGAACCAGGACTTGTTTAGCTGTTGTATTTATCTAGCCACGTTTAATTCTTCAGCACAAATTAGCATTTGCTACCTGAACCTTTATGCACTATGCAGCTGTGTACACTGAAATATGCAGATGAGCCACTCTTGTAAACTCGAGAATTTGCATATGAGGGCATATTGAGATTTGATTCTCTAACAATATATAGATTACGTCTTAGAGTTTGCACACTTAATCCTAAACAGTTTTCTTGATTGATACAGCTAATAAAAAAAAACCATATATAGCCAATGGCAAAATAAAGGGTTTAGAGGACAGGCTGTTAGAAGTCCTACAATTAGATATCTCATAACTCCATGGGTGCTTTGCAAAGCATTTTACATTTCTCTAGCAGATAAAAGAGTTTAATAAAAAAACGCGTGTAGTCTGCGGCATGATTAAAAGGTTTTGCAAGGGGACTATGGATAAATTCACTGGTGATAAATGGTGTCGCAAGACACAGTATATAGATCACTACTACTGGTATTATGTAAATATATAATCTATGTATATAATGTAACTATGAATAATTTCACTGGTGAGGTATGAAGTATCTAAGCAATAAACAAGTCAGAACTATAGGTTAATTCAGTGGTGAAGCATGCGGTGTCTAAACACAACTAATAATTCACCACTATTGGCAATATCACTGACAAGGAATTATGTTACCCGATTACAATGTATTAACAATAATTTGGGGTATTTTAACAGGTGATGAATGACACGCCTAAGAACAGTGAATATATACTAACACTGGTTAATTTCATACCTTATGGATGGTGTCCATAAAAAGATCTGAATTATTCACAACGAATGGCAAATTCGTTAGTATCATGTACATAAAGGGACACTCCGCGTGTGATCAGTGATAAAGATCAGTGTGAGCTGCCGACTTGACTCCACCCACAGCAAATCACCGGACATGACACCAACCCACAGCCAATCACCCGACGTGACGTGCCAATCACTCGGCATGACTCCACCCCAAAGCCAATCACTGTCCTTTGGCTACTGTGGAGTAATCTTTGAAAACTTCAGAGTGAAAAGGGGGCAGATAATAAGAGGGCACTGATTGGCAGTAGGGCGGAGTACTGTCCGTTGTCACATTAGTCTCTCACTGGCCCAGCTGCGCGAACACAGTGCGCTCCCAATCAGTTAGATTTCAGATCTTATCTCACTATCTGAAAATAAGCAAACAGATTACATGCATTATAATACTTCTATTACTAACAACACAAAATAAAATGGATACTTTTGTATCCAGGCAGCCAGAGCTTTACCCTTTTCAACACAATAATTATGTAAAAGTGTCAATTTTCTTTGTAATATATACACTAAAAATAACAGTTTTTATCAGTCCTCCCACTGAGTGTAACTATTGGAATTTCAAAGCAATATAATAAACAAAAACAAAAAAAAAATCGAATGTGTTTAAAATGTTTAAATTTGCATTGTACTAAAATCTTTTCATAAACAATTGTTCAGAAAATGAATGCAAATAATATTACTTCCATATAACCAGGCTAAATACAATGATCACCTAAAGATCTGGTACCTTTTTAATATGTTGGTGGCCATCTTGAAATTGCATAACAAATTTTAAACCCTCTGTCAATGTTACCACCAAAAACAAATGTGAAGAGAGCATAGAATGATAGCAGCCTACAAGAATCTTCTGAATATCTCCCGAATTTCCACAGTCAGGAAAAAAGGCTCAATGATTGCTCTGATCCTTTACACCCAACATGCTCAAGGAAAAAGCAACGATTATTTAGAAATACTTTAGATTCTTTTTTTTTCTTTTTAATGACAGTTTTTTAAAAATAATGAATGCTATACAGGTGTGCCTGCACAGTTCTGAATGGCAGAAAGACTAAAACATTATCTAAAAGACCATTTAAAATGTAGCTTTGTTTGTGGAATAATAAATAAATGGACTAGCGTCAGCAAGCGGCTATATATTATCCTGTGCGTAGGAAGAACCTGCTTCAACTGCTTTCATATTGTATTCGTGAGTATAAAAAATATATTCATACAAAGTCCATGTGTGCAGTAACTACTCATCTTTGCAAAAAACAAAACAAAAGACAAAGATCTTGTACCATGAGCCGTATAATCAAGTAGAGTGTTTATTATAAATCGCTCAGTGCTTCTTCATATGAGTAGACACTTGAAGATTTCTAATTACAGTCACTCGTGACTGCAGATATATGTAGTGCTCTTATAAATAGTAAATATAAACCTGTGTGCACTTCGTAGTGATCTCATATTCACAGCAATGAGGTAACTACGGCAAACAAGTGAGGCCGGGTTATGTAAATAACTATTAACTGATGTTAATAATAGAACATGCTTTTATAATCAGTGTGTTCTTGCATAATCGGTGCTTTTAGCAAGTACTATACTATTGACCTTTGCTCATGAACTCTCTTCCACAGAGGTGGTATGGTACTTGTTGTGCAGGTGGGACAGTGTCATGCTTTAGTTTAATATATGCTGTGTACACTATACTGAAAAATATATAAATATAAAATAGTATGCCCTGATTTGTTTTTTACTGCCACTGTGTACAATAGTCACATTGGAACATAGCTATGTATAAGTTGCCTGAACCTAAAAATAGAAAGTAAACAAAGGGGGTGTAAAGAGAACAGTAAGAATAGAGTAGTAGTGGTCCATTTTTAATTATGTAATTTTTGTCGGATAGCTGCCAAGTGCGAGAAAGGTCAAGAAGGTGTACTACTAGTCTGTAAAGTAGTTGGTCTTAATAAGATACCTTCAAGGAAGGAAACCAAGACAGTTCCTACACACAGGTAGGTGTAATGAGTAATAAAAACAAAAAGACAACAAAAATACTTATACTTGATAAACAAGCTAGGTCAAGAGAATCGCAAAGTAGAAAAGTAAAATGACGAGCTAGAAATTGAGAAACACAATCTAACTGTGAGAAATGCGCTTACGGGCAAAGCAAAAGATATAACTCAAAGTATGTTTAAATACTTAAAAGTAACACTTTATTGGTTTGTGTTGAAAAAAGCTGGGTATTTATAAGCATTTCACACAACTTTGGCTATGAAAGCAAATGGCATTCTTTGTCAAGGTCAACATCTGAGGATGTCGTCAGATAAGAGGAAGCCGGACTACGCTCAGGGACCCTAAAAACAACTTTAGATATTTTACAGTTAAAATACAAAGGAATAAAAGATAGTGTGTATAATTGTGTGTAATTCAAAGATAATTATCGTAGTAGGAGTTACGTGCTCCCAATGACTGGACTTTTTAAACCCGTGTTTTAATGGTGGA